AATTCCCATTGTTATTCCCATCCCTGTAATTCCCATTGTTATTCCCATTGTTATTCCCATTGTTATTCCCATTGTTATTCCCGTTGCTGCTGTTGTTTCCCATTGTTGTTTTTCCCGTTGTTTTTCCCCTTGTTAGAATGGGAGCCGGGAAATCCATCCCCAAAAACTGGGAATGGGCTGGGAAATCCATCCCAGTCATTATTCCCATTGTTTTTCCCATTGTTTTTCCCATTGTTATTCCCGCTGTTGTTTTTCCCGTTGTTTTTATTCCCGTTGTTGTTTTTATTCCCGTTGTTTTTATTCCCGTTGTTGTTTGTTGTTATTCCCGTTGTTGTTGTTATTCCCATTGTTTTTCCCAGTGTTTTTCCCATTGTTTTTCCCATTGTTTTTCCCGTTGTTTTTATTCCCGTTGTTGTTGTTATTCCCGTTGTTGTTGCTGTTCCCGGTACCTGTCGCAGCTCGTGGACGTTCCGGGGCCGGAAGAGCAGCTCGGGGCTGCAGCCGTAGGTGCCGGACCAGTTCCAGAACCGGAACCCGGATTCGCCCTGGACCTGCCGGGAGAGATCCCGAGGGATCGGGATTGGCCAGAGGGATCGGCCCGAGGGGATCCGGAGGGGCTGGAATCGATCCCGAGGGATCGGGATCATCCCAAGGGATCGGGATCATCCTGAGGGATCGGCCCGAGGGGATCTGGAGGGGCTGGAATCGATCCCGAGGGATCGGGATCATCCCGAGGGATCGGGATTGGCCAGAGGGGATCCAGAGGGGCTGGAATCGATCCCGAGGGATCGGGATCATCCCGAGGGATCGGGATCATCCCGAGGGATCGGCCCGAGGGGATCCAGAGGGGCTGGAATTGATCCCAAGGGATCAGGATCATCCCGGGGAATCCGGAGGGGCTGGAATTGATCCCGAGGGATCGGCCTGAGGGGATCCCAAGGGGTTGGGATCATCCCAAGGGATCGGGATCATCCCGAGAGATCGGGATTGGCCAGAGGGGATCCAGAGGGGCTGGAATCGATCCCGAGGGATCGGCCTGAGGGGATCCCAAGGGATTGGGATCATCCCAAGGGGATCCGGAGGGGCTGGGATCGATCCCGAGGGAATCTGGGAGAGCTGGAGCTGATGCCGGCAGGATCAGGATCGTCCCGAGGGGATCCCAACGGGATCGGGATCGTCCCGAGGGGATCCGGAGGGGCTGGAATCGATCCCGAGGGATCGGGATCATTCCCGGGGGATCTGGATCCCAGTCCGTGGGGACCATGGAGATCCAGAGGGGCTGGAGCCGATCCCAAGGGAATTGGGATCATCCCGGGGGATTGGGATCCCATTCCATGGGGATGAGGGTGATCCAGAGGGGCTGGAGCTGATCCCAAGGGATCGGGATCATCCCGAGGGGATCTGGCAGGGCTGGAACAGATCCTGTTGGGATCAGGATCGTCCCGGGGGGATCCGGAGGGGCTGGAGCCGATCCCAAGGGAATTGGGATTGTCCTGGGGGGATCTGGAGGGGCTGGAGACGATCCCAAGGGATTTGGATTGTCCCGAGGGGATCCGGAAGGGCTGGAGCAAATTCCAACAGGATCGGGATCATCTTGAGGGGATCCGGAGGGGCCGGAGTTGATCCCAAGGGATTTGGACCATTCCAAGGGAATCCAGAGGGGCTGGAATCGATCCCAGTGGGATTGGGATCATCCCAGGGGATCTGGCACGGCTGGAGCTGATCCCGGCAGGATCGGAATCGTCCTGAGGAGATCCAGAGGGGCTGGAGCTGATCCCAAATGGATCAGGATGACTCCCAGCGAATCTGGATCCCAGCCCGTGGGGATCAGGGACAGCCAGAGGGGCTGGAGCCGATCCCAACGGGATTTGGGATCATCCCGGGAAATCCAGATCCCATTCCGTGGAGATCAGGGAGATTTGGGATCCGGAGGGGCTGGAGCCGATCCCAACGGGATTTGGATCATTCCAAGGAAATCCAGAGGGGCTGGAATCGATCCCAGGGGAATCGGGATCATCCCAGGGGATCCGGAGGGGCTGGAGCCGATCCCGCCCCAGGATCGGGATCAGGATCGGGATCGGGATCACCCCGGGATCAGGATCGGGATCGGGATCCCATTTCCCTCCCTTCCCTTCCCCCATTCCCAGCTGGGATCCCAGGGATGGTTCCCAAATCCCTCCCGAATTCCCAAATCCCCAAATCCCCAAAATCCCAAATCCTCAAATTCCCAAATTCCCAAATCCCCATCATTCCCAAAGAATTCCTTCCCAAATTCCCAATTTCCTTTCCTTTCCCAAATTATTTTCCCAAATTCCCAAGTTCCCGCCCCAAATTCCTTTCCATTCCCAAATTCATTTCCCAAATTCCCAAATAAATCCCAAATTCCCAAATAAATCCCCAAATTCCCAAATTCCATTCCCAAATTAATTTCCCAAATCCCTGAATTCCCTCCCCAAATCCCCAAATTCCCAAAAAAATTCCCTTCCCAAATTCCTTTCCCTTCCCAAGTTCCCAAAATTCCCAAATTCCCAAATTCCCCTCCCCAAATTCCTTCCCAAATTCCCAAAAACCCCAAATTCCTTTCCCAATTTCCCTTCCCAAATTCCCGAATTCCCCAAATTCCATTCCCAAATTAATTTCCCAAAAACTCCCGAATTCCCAAATTCCTTTCCCTCTCCTAAATCCCAAATTCCTTTCCCGGATTCCCAAATTCCAGCCCTAAATTCCTTCCCAAATCCCCAAATTCCCTTCCAAAATTCCTTTCCCTTCCGAAATTCCAAAATTCCCGAGTTCCCAAAGTTCCTTCCCAAATTCCTTCCCAAATTCCCAAAATCCCAAATTCCCCTCCCAAAATCCTTTCCGAATTTCCTTTCCCTTCCCAAATTCCCAAATTCCCGAACTCATGAATTCCCAAATTCCCAAATTCCTTTCCCTTCCCAAATTTTTTTCCCAAATTCCCACCCCAAATTCCTTTCCCAAATTCCCTCGTTCCTTCCCCAGATTCCCAAATCCTCAAATTCCCAAATTTCCCAAAATTCCCAAATTCATTTCCCGGATTCCTTAATTCCTTTCCCTTCCCAAATCCCCAAACCCCAAAATTCCCAAATTCCCAAATTCCCTCCCCAAATTCCTTCCCAAATTCCCCAAAACCCCAAATTCCCAAATTCCTTTCCCAATTTCCCTTCCCAAATTCCCGAATTCCCCAAATTCCATTCCCAAATTAATTTCCCAAATTCCTGAATTCCCTCCCCAAATCCCCCAAATCCCCGAATTCCCAAATTCCCATCCCAATTTCCTTCCCCAAAAATTCCCGAATCCCCCAAATTCTCTTCCCAAATTCCCGAATTCCCGAATTCCCCTCCCAAAATCCTTTCCCAATTTCCTTTCCCAAAAATTCCCAAAAATTTCCCTTCCCGATTTCCTTTCCCTTCCAAAATTCCCAAACAATTCCCGAATCCCCAAATTCCCAAATTCCCCCCCCCGAATTCCCAAAGAATTCCCACCCAATTCCCGCCCCTCCCCCACCCCAGGGAGGCGCCCCCGCCCCGGGCCGGGAATTTCGGGAAGAAATTCCAAAGATCCCAGAAAAAAAAACCGGGAATGAGGCGGGGGGGAGGGGGGGAGGGGCGGCCTCTTCCCAAATCCAAGAAAAACCCGGGAAAAAAAAACTCCAAAAGCACCAAAATCCCGGGAATTTTCAGCTGGATCGGGAGGGAAAATTCCCGCCGAGGTTTTCTGGGAATTCTCGGGGTTTTTATGGGAATTTTGGGGTTTTTTTTTCCGGAATTTTGTTTTTTTTTTTTCCCGGAATTTTTGGGATTTTCTCGGGAATTTTTGGGTTTTTTTTCCGGGAATTTTAGGATTTTTTTTCCCCGGGAATTTTCCGATTTTTCCCAGGAATTTTTGGGTTTTTCTCGGGAATTTTTTGATTTTTCTCGGGTTTTTTTTTTTATTTTTTTTCCGGGAATTTTTCCCCGTTTTTCCCCTGGAATTTTCGGAGTTTTCCTGGGAATTTTTGGAGTTTTTCCGGGAATTTTTGGGGTTTTTTTTCCCGGGAATTTTTGGATTTTTTCCCTGGGAATTTTCCGATTTTTCCCAGGATTTTTTTGATTTTTCCCAGGAATTTTCCGGATTTTTTTCCCGGGGAATTTTCCAGATTTTCCCCGGGAATTTTCGGATTTTTCTCGGGAATTTTTGGATTTTCCTCGGGATTTTTTTGATTTTTTTCCCGGGAATTTTTTGGATTTTCCCCAGGAATTTTCCGATTTTTCCCAGGAATTTTTCGGATTTTTTTCCCCTGGAATTTTCGGATTTTTCCGGGAATTTTTGGATTTTTCCCCGGGGAATTTTCCGATTTTTCCAGGAATTTTCCGATTTTTCCCAGGATTTTTTTTCAAATTTTTTTCCGGGATTTTTTTTTATTTTTTCCGGGAATTTTTCCCCATTTTTCCCCGGGAATTTTCGGACTTTTCCTGGGAAATTTTGGGTTTTTCTCGGGAAATTTTGGATTTTTTTTTCCGTAGGATTTCCCCCATTTTTCCCCTGGAATTTTTTTATTTTTCTCGGGATTTTTTGGGTTTTTTTTCCGGGAATTTTTTCGGATTTTTCCCCGGGGAATTTTCCGATTTTTCCACAGGAATTTTTGGATTTTCCCCCCGGGAATTTTCCGGATTCTCCCCAGGAATTTTCCCATTTTTCCAGGGAATTTTTCCCCATTTTTCCCCGGGAATTTTCCTATTTTTCCCAGGATTTTTTTTTAATTTTTCCCAGGAATTTTTTGATTTTTCCCCGGGAATTTTTGGATTTTTTCCCGGGAATTTTCCCCATTTTTCCCGGGGAATTTTTGGATTTTCCTCGGGATTTTTTTGATCTTTTTTCCGGGAATTTTTGGATTTTTTTTCCCGGGGAATTTTCCGATTTTTCCACAGGAATTTTTTCCGATTTTCCCCGGGAATTCTCCCATTTTCCCCCAATTTTTTCCCGTCTCGGATTCCCAAATTTCTCCAGCATGGGGGATAAAAACCGGGAAAAATCCCCTTTGGAATTTTCTCACCATCGCGGAGTCTCGCTGGGAATTCCCGGTTGGAATTTTGGGGCCGATCCCGCTGGATCCGAGCGCGCGCCCGCCTCGGGAATTCCTCGGGAATGGCTGAAAAACCGGGAAGAGCCTCGGGGATTCTTCCCTTGGGAATTGCGAAATTCCAGAGGGAGGAGGGGGCGGGGCGGGGCCGGGATGGGAGCCGGGAATTGCGGGGGGTTGGGCGGGAATTCCTGGGAAAAATGGGGGAAATTCCAGGGATTTTGGGGATTTGGGGAGAGAATTCCTGGGGAAAACGGGGAAAAATTGGGAAAAAATCCCGAGGATTTTGGGATTTGGGGCGGGAATTCCAGGGAAAATGGGGAAAAGAGGGAAAAATTCCAGGGGTTTTGGGGATTTGGGGCGGGAATTCCTGGGAAAAATGGGGAAAATTCCAGGGATTTGGGGATTTGGGGCAGGGAATTCCTGGAAAACGGGGAAAAATGGGTGGAAATTCCAGGGATTTGGGGGTTGGAGCAGAGAATTCCTGGGAAAAAGGGGGAAAGAGGGAAAATATTCCCAAAATTTTGGAGATTTGGGCAGAGAATTCCTGGAAGAAAAGGGAAAAACTCCAGAGATTTTGGGATTTGGGGCAGGAATTCCTGGAAAAAATGGGAAAATTCCAAAGATTTTGGGATTTGGGGAGCAGCAGGGGAGGTTCCAGGAAGGGAATTCCTGGAAAAACTGGGAAAGAGGGAAAAGAATTTGGGATTTGGGGTGGGAATTCCTGGGAAAAGGAGGAAAAAATCCAGAGATTCTGGGGGCTCAAGCAGAGAATTCCTGGGAAAAATGGGAAAACTGGAAAAAGTTCCCGAAATTTTGGGATTTGGGGCGGGAATTCCTGGAAAAAAGGGGAAAAGATTCCCAGGATTTTGGGGGTTTGGGACGGGAATTCCCAGGAAAAGGGGAAAAGAGGGGAAAAGTCCCCAAAATTTGGGGATTTGGGCAGAGAATTCCTGGGGAAAAAGGGAAAAATGGGGAAAATTCCAGGGATTTTGGGGAGTTTGGGGAGGGAATTCCTGGAAAAAAGGGGAAAAGAGGGGAAAAGTCCCCAAAATTTGGGGATTTGGGCAGAGAATTCCTGGGGAAAAAGGGAAAAATGGGGAAAATTCCAGGGATTTTGGGGAGTTTGGGCAGGGAATTCCTGGGAAAAAAGGGGAAAAGAGGGAAAAATTCCAGGAATTTTGGGGTTTCGAGCAGAGAATTCCTGGGGAAAAAGGGAAAAATGGGGAAAATTCCAGGGATTTTGGGGAGTTTGGGGAGGGAATTCCTGGAAAAACGGGGAAAAATCCAGGGATTTTGGGC